TATGATTATTTGTGAACCATTCCCCTTTAGATTTTGCTTTATGTTTTGGATCATTATCTTGTTGGAAGAATNTGTATTTATGTTTTAGAGGAGCAGGAGAAGCACACACTGCAAAAAGAATCCAAAATATGTGAGAAAGTCTTAAAACAAGTATATTTGCTTTTAATTTGAGCAGATCAATAAGATGCTGCCAATGGAATGAGCATTTTTGCCCCTGAAATAAGATAATTACATATTATGCGCTTTAAATGAGATAATGGAGTTATTCTTTCATTCTAAATTAAAATAATGGTATTAAACTGGTAAATTGTCGAAATCTTCTTCTCCATTTAAGGGAAAATACACTTTTTCAAGAAAGATAGACTTCCTTATATGTCATTTTTACCAGTCTATTTATAGACAGTTTCTGGAGAAAGAATAATGTATGATAGTTTCTCTGAGATAAAAAAAAAACAGCAGATAAACAGGCAAAATGGTGTTGTTCTAAAACTGCTAGAATATTACAGTATTCTGGTTCTAATTTCTTAAAATCCTGAAATAATCAAAGTAGTGCGGCTACACTCCACCTCCCCCACCTGTTGCTTAATACTGAGAAAGAAAATCTACTTAAATCTTTCCTTTACTGGCAAGAAAGACAACTATCTATAAATATATTTGCTCCACTAATTGAAATGTCTTTAAATACACATTAAAATGAATTCAACACGCTGTAGTAAATAGATAAATGGAGGCAGGAGATGTCTTTCAGTCTTGAATGCACACATTCACCTAACAATATCGGCTCTAAAAATGAGCTGCGTGCATCAACGAACAGATGGACTGACGTCAGAATCATCCATGTTTAAGAATACTAAAAGGCTGCCACCCATAAATCTATATGGTCTCTACCGTGTTTGTATGAAAGAAGCAGAAAACGGGGATATTATTCTATATAGTTACCTGTTAAATAATCGCTTTAATTGGGTAAAGTGTATTTCTTTCTTCTACATTTCGTTTTACTTAATTTGACCAGCAAAGCTACTTGCGACAACCTAAATGACATTAAATGAATGTGGTTAATTATCAGGTTGGGCTCAAACTTAAAGGGAAACACCATTTTCTATTACATTGGCCCCTTGATTTTACGTTATTACATCATGTTCTACTCACCCTTATGAGTTTTGTGTCATTTGGAGCTGTTCTGTTATATCCAAGTAAAGTCTTCCTATGCGAAACGACTTGAAGGCACAAACTAAACTGTTTATAATTTATCATTTATGGTACGACAGCATTCATAACATGTAGGCGAATCACTGTCTCCCAGACATCTGCGGTTACTGTATATTTTTTATATTTGTATATTTTTTTTAAAACAAAGCAGAGTGTGTATGACGTAAAAATATAAATATAAAAAAATATAACGTAAAATCAAGGGGCCAATGTAAAAAACAAACAAACAAAAAACTGTGTTTCCTCTTTAACGCTGCTACCAGGCTGGTCCAGCTGCAGAAGAAGGAAAAATGTCACAATTCTTTCCTGGAATTGATGGGTTCATATAAACATTGCTTTTCCTTGTTCATTAGTTTTTTTCTTTTTCTTGCATTCTAAAGGAAAGTCAGATGACTGGATTATCCTCCATCCTAAAACCACTTCCTGTTCCCTGTAGCGTTAACCTGCCTCAGTGAATCAGCAGGGAACAGAAACCTCTGTGGAGCTTTGCTTTGTTTGGTCACATCAGATCTTTGAATGGCGTCCATATCTTCGACTTAAAATTTAAATTTCAACCTTATTTAGGGCAATGGTGGCCTAGTGCTTAGAGTATTGCGCTTGGATTTTGGAGGTTCTGATTTCAAGTCCCTTTCATTCCCACAAACTGCCTCTCTGGGTTTTTGAGCAAGACCCTTAACCCCACACTGCTCCCATGGTGCTGCACAGTGGCAGCCCACTGCTCCCCAATGTGGATGTGTTAAATGCAGAGAGTTAATTTATCCAGTGTGAGATCAACAAAGTTGAATTTCCAATCAAAATGTACAATTTCAGTTGAACTTATTAAACACTTGAGTTTTTTTCAAACATTTTTTATTTTTATGTTGAGCTGCTTTTTATTTCCTCGGCGCGTCTGTCAGATTGTTGTCCAGCTTTTCTAGTTTTAGAGCATATTTGTGTTTTTTCTTTTCTTTTTCTGACTAATTTTTTTATAGCTGAGCCAAAAATGTTCCTTAAAAGTCAACCGTCAACCGAATTTCACATTTCTAGTCAGTCCCTTATGATGTACTGATTATTTATGTTAGTTATCGATATTTACCAGATTATTTATTGAGATTTAATTCTGCTGTTTAGGGGATAACGTGTATCAAATGTTTTTTCAAGCTGGAAAGGATGAATGAGTATGATGCATTAAGCATCATAGTCTAAGCATAAAAATGTAATCATAATATTGTTATCATTAGAATCAGACCTTTTTTAAAAATCTATTGAATTTATAACACTGGATTTTTATAATTGTGCAATCATGTATTCACTGAAGGTGCAGTCTGCTAATCAAATGGTGTTTTAGTCGTAAAGGGTTAAAAGAAAAGGCTATTTTGATGATATTTTCCAGTAAAGAATTACATAATGTCTCTTTAAATTCAATAGAAAATCCCCTGCAAAGAATCTGTGGCAGGACTTCACTTGCAAAAACTAATTAATTAACTTAGAGAAAAGAGAAAACTGCAAAATTTCATCTACAAAATTTTACTTGTAAAAGAAATTTTTGCTGGAAAAAAAAATGTTGCAAAAAACAAACAAACAAACAAACAAAAAAAAACAGCTGCAGAAATCCAAATCACCCAAAAATTTCTCCCGCCATGCTTTCACCAATGGATCTCTTATTTTTTGAAATGGTGCAGTTCAGGTTCCATGGAAATTCACTGTTTTATTACCTGCTGAAGGTCATTATCACTATTTGGGAACCCAGCTGAAGTCACCAACAGTGGCTGTGATGCAAAAAAAAACAAAACAATCATATCGCCCAGCATTATCCTGGTCTCAGCTGTTGCCTCTAATGGGAGAAGAAGCTGATCTTCTATAGATCTGCTATAGATTTCCAATAGATCCACTTTGGATCACTATAAATCAGCTACGGATTGCTATAGATCTGCTATAGAACGGCTATATATCTGCTATAGGTGCGCTATAGACCTCCTATAGATCCACTATAGATCAGCTGTAGATCTGCTATAGGTGCGCTATAGACCTCCTATAGATCCACTATAGAT